TGCATGTAGATGGATATATTCACTTTTCACTGTAGCATTTATGAATGTCTTTCTTTTTTTTTACAGTATGGCAGATTTAAATCTGCCTGCACATAAACAAGAAACAGTGACAGATTGCTCTTCTGGAATGTGCTGTTGTGTTGTTGGGTCCTTGCAGAGTTATCTGAGGACCCAGGACATGATGGTAATATTACACAACAGCAATGATGTCGGCACTGTACAAGTCCCCTCTGATCACCCTCAGTACAGTCCAGCCAAAAAACAGACAAACAAACAAACAAACAAAACCTTCCAGACTTCCCAGTCCGGCCTGACCACTGATTCACTGTAATAAGATTTCAGATTTCAGTCGCCTGGTCTTCCATAACTTTGAACTAGAACACATTCACTATAACTACAAAAAAGTTAATGCCTACTTGAATGTCTTTCAAAAACAGTCTAAATCTTAATTAATTGATTTGAATTGATTGAATTTGAATTTAACTGATTTGTCAGCAGGATAATAATGATGTTACCAGTTTTATGAGTTTCATTTTTGATGTGAATTGATATTGATTACTTGAAAATGTGTGTGAATCCAAATTAATCCCCTTTGTTTACAGCCAAGTAGATTGGCTTTGTGTGGATAAAATGTCCTCCATCTCCAGTTTTTTGTCCATGGCAACACAGTTATCCTTGGTCAAAGTGATCCACTGTTTGTGTTGCTCATAAAGAACGTTCCTGTGGTTGCTCTGTATGGCAGGGTGGATCCTGAAAGCTCACTGAACTATGCCATGATACCACTTCTCTTTAACTGAGCCCTTTAGGTACAAGTCACAACTGAGTAGGCTCTTTGTACCTGTCCAGATGTTGGCCTAATTTACTACCACTAGCAGCATATGTGGCCCATTTATGTGCCCTCACACCCAGTGCGAGTGCCTGCATGTGAACAGTGTCAGCCTCTAACTCAGGTGTTCCAGTATTCATCCTACTGGCATCCCATGAGTCCTTTTGCTTTTAGCAGTGATTTTAGCAAAAGCGTGGTGCATGAACTCTGCAGTTCCTTTCATAGTTTTAACATCTTTCAGGTTCATTGTCTTGTATGCTACCTGTCACTACCAAACAGCAGAGAGACACAGTTTGCAGCTAGTGGGTGAATATCTATCCATCCATTATGTGTACAAGGGTCACATGGGAGGGGGCTGGAACCAATCCCAGCTGACATCAGGCAAGAGGTGGGGTACACCCTGGACAGGTCGCCAGTCTATCACAGGGCTGACATATAGACACTCACTCCTACATGCATGCCAGTAGAGAACATGCAAACTCCACACATAAATGCCCTGGGTCGGCCCAGGATCGAACCAGGAACCTTCTTGGTGCGAGGGTTAACCACGGTTCCTCTGTGCCACCCTATAGCAGCTAAAGACTTACTATAGATGTTTCACTCATGAGTTGGTGGAGAGCAAAACCAAGCTTAAAGGAGAACCAATAATGGACTTTCAGGCCCTGCAGTATCACAGAAGCTGATTAACACTAGTTGGAGTCTGTAGCACTGGAAGAAGAGCAGAGAGAATGTGAAGGCACATGGGCTCACTGACCTGTTGATATCTACTGCATTCTGTGGCATCAGGCCAGTTTTAGGCACCTCTGCAGCTGGCAGCCACCAGATGTGATATGTTTGAAGACAGATGACAGCAGCAGCCCTGTGCATCTTCAGAAGCGAAAGTGAAGGATGTGGGCCAAGTATCTATCTTTCTGGTGGGCATAAAAACTTTTTAATTCCCCATCTGTCCTGATTTAAATTTGCTCTGACTATAATGAGACTTATTTTGCATGCAAGCAATGACACAGAGCCTGCTAAAGAAATTATTAGCAATATTAGCATAAAGGGAAATGATAAGCCCCTTAATCCCTAACGGAGATGAGTGAAATGATACAATACCAGAGATATTCAGTCACTTACATTCTAACACAGCCAAATGTATGTGATGAGAAAAATGACAGGAGGATACAAACTAAATGGGTCTCAGGATATTTTAACCACAGTACAGCTGTTCATGATCCTCGTGTGACTGTGTGATGAAAGTATGAATTGATATCAATATATCATCATGATGCGTAGAAATGCTGAAGGTAAGAGTAGAGATAACAGATTATGATAAAAGTCACCAATAGCCAAATGGAGTACACTATGAATTTACATAGAATCAGACTGGTGGGAACACAACAGAATTCAAATATATTTAGGGTACATGTATAAATTGTTTATAAATAGTGAATATGTGTTCGCCCTTGACAAAACCAAAAACCAGGCGCAGTTTAAAGAATGCAAACAAAGATTTTTCTGTGTTGAATAGTTTATGATTTAAGATGTAAGTGACAGAAGAACAACAATTCAAGGGTGCCAGCAGGGCAAGCTTTATTTAACATGGCAAAAAAAAGAGAGTCAAATTTCCAAAATAGATTTTAAACAAATGCACATCGCAAGAAAGGCAAAAATAACTACCAAATAAATATTTACATCAAGAACAACATTTTTCATGTGACATCCTTGAAGATGTCTTACAATGATTATAAAATGAGACGGTATGTACAACCATACAAGTTTAATAGGACATGCTTAGGAGTTTGACTGCACCATTGTACCACACACTGACTACAACACAAAGGCTGCATATTAACTGACATGGTCCATGAGCTGCCCATCTATGCCATCATCAGAAAATCTGGCATCAGTTCTATAACCCAAAGAATATATATCAAGAAATTATTGTTTTTTTAAACACGCCTGGCAATAAATGCATAACTGACACTGTAATGATGGATGTGGGGATGTCTGCTTATGAACCAACCCTCTCTGTCCACACAACCAACCCAAGAGCCAGCCTCTCTCTTTCCTATGATGAATTGTTGCTAGGCAATGCTGAGGAATTTGCTGTGTGACCATGATCTGGAAGCCTTTGTGCAAATCACCACTTGAAGGTCCTCCGACTACCGGGGGCAGTCCACAGCTCCATACAGAGAAGGATATTTCTAAAATATTCAAAAAAAATTCTACACTGGGACTGACATCATGCTATTAAATACAAAATAAATAAATCATATAAAAAATGGAAAAATAGCCATCTTTGGACAGGGCCAGCCTGTTCATTTTGATTACATGTCCTTGCATTATTTTGTTTTCCCACATACTAGCCATTTTTACAGGATAACTGTTACACTTTTGAAGCATAGCCAATTTTAAAAGCACATCACTGTCAAGTCATTCAAATCCTACTGCTGCAACACTTTTTAAAAGTATGCTTATGTAAAGCTAGCAGCAAAGTCTAGCATCTCCAACTCAGATCATTGTTCGCTCATATTGAAATATTCTATTTTTCATCATTTTTCATGTGATCATTGGTTGTTTCATACACCAATGACTACTTGTAGAGTAGAGGAGGGCCAATCACAGATCGTCAGCCACTTTGTACAGCAGAGATAACATGGATGTCTATGGAGCGCTTATAGCATAAGAATAATCACAAAGCTGAGTCTTTATTGCCACACAGGTAACCTTGCATCACAAGCTCTTAAATCATTATTGCTTTATGGTTAGTAGCACACAGATCGATGCTGCATGCACAGAAAACCATAAAGCCAAAGATTTAAGCAAAGAAAAGGGTCCAATTTTTGCTTCGTAGTCACTGCAACCTAGAGTTAGTGCTGCTTATTGGAGGTCAACAGATTAACAAGAGTGTACAAACACAAAAACTAGAGTGGTCTTGGAAGAGCAGAGTCGTGTTTGGGAGTGCTACATTGGATTGTTGCAAATGAGAGAAATCCACAGGCATATTACAGTGGCCATAAAAACTTGATGATAACCTGGTAAATGATATGAAAGGCATTTTTCAAAACTGCATACCATTTGAGAATTGTTGAAAAACTATCAACAATGCAATGCTACAAATCTTTTCCAAGGAATATCTGAAACTACAAACTACATGTTCCCATTAGCTGTGAGTCTGAATTAGGTACAGTAGGTGTTATCCTATGCTGCATACAGCAAGTGGCATCAATAACCAGCCACAGCTTCATAAGTAACACTCAACAGGTCAACATTGAACCGTTTGTGTTGATGCTCCTGGTCACCACAACAAAGGAGTCTTTTCTCATCTATTAAAATATGACTGTCTCATTACCAAAATAGACTCCAGCTCAGACAGCAGAAACACCAGAAGCCCAGCTAGACTTCACTTTAGTTTTTGTGCGTCTTCATTTCTGCAGTAATTTTGTTCACACAGAGCTCTTAAAACCTGCTCCACTTAAAGCCTGTGGAGCAGGGCTGTGCAGAGCTATGCAACCATGCATCAGTCCATGCAGGTTGATATAGTCTAGACTGCCATCTGCACAGCAGCCTGTGCTCACAGCACTTATCGCTGCTCCCATCGCCACTGAGACAATGAGAACAGCTCACTATGTAACAGCTCTCCCCGTAGTTTGTCCCACTACTCCCTCTACATCTCTGTGCTTTCACAAGCCTAAATGGGAACACGAGTAACAAGCTATTTCACACCTCACACACCTTACTAAGAGGGATTTTTTTTTCTAATTCCTGATGGTTTCATGCTAGGTTTATTTTTGTACTTAGAAAAATATCCATTGAATTGTCTGAGAGGCATTTACATCACAAGATTAAACGTCACACGTTGCACATTTTCAGTTTGGACAAAATCAACATGTGCCTAGAGATAGTAAAACCAGACAGATGTAACACCATTGTAGTTGCATACTGTTTACAGGTGAAAACATGATAGCTCAATAATCAAACCTCGACTGATATTTGTTTGTTGGAAAGCAAGAGAGACAGTAGTGGAAAAAGATGGATGTGCGCTAAAAGATTCAGGAGCAAGTGGACAGCGAGGTGTCCACCTCTTCTGAAGAGTGTTTGGTTTTTTGGGGGGGTGAGGGAAGGATTCACCAGGAAGTCCTGATAAAACCATCATGCCCACTCCCCCTTCCCCGAGACCAAAGAGGTAGGGGCTGGGGATCGCATGTGAGAACTGTAACCCAAGAGGTCTCCACTCACATGACTGAGCAGCTCCTGGCCTTCTCCTTCTTGAAGGTGGAAGAGAGCAGATCTGACTTGCTGGGCAAGTGGAGAAGTCGTTTGGACAGTCGACGGGTGGGGCTGGATTTCGGTAGAGGCTGCAGCTTGTTGATGCAGGCCATCGCTGCGGTGCGGAACACGCTGTGGATGCTTTTCTCCGAGGTGAACGCTGAGCACTCAAGATAAGCCTCTGCACCCAGCTGCTTGGCCATAGCAGAACCCTGCAATAAACAGAGTGATGAAGGGTGCGCTTCCATCTTTATTACATTTTTTTTTTGCAACTTTGTGATCAACACAATTTTCAGAAAATTAATGAAATTCCTAAAATGATTTTTGACAAACTTGAGAACGTCAGATGACAACTCCTGATGAAGTATACTGTCATGCTCAAAGCCTAAACATAATGAAAGGTCTGCAGATTATTGTGATCTTCATTTATTTCATACAGACCTAACATAAAGCTAAAAATGAATTCTGCAAAGAAAAGGTTTCATAATTGTAAAATTTAAGTGTGTTTCCAAACAGCTTTATGTTCATGTTTCTAATTTGACATCAACTATACTCCTAAATAATAGATACGTGTTTTCTCTCACCTGCTCATAGGTGATGGGAGTCTGTTTCTGATTGGACAGTTCCATCAGCGTGCAGACATCTGTGCGCAGGTCTGTCTTACAGCCAATGAGCAGGATACGTGTGCTCGGACAGAAGTCCAAGATCTCAGTTTTCCACTGTGGATGCAAAAGTTCAGTAAAAAGAAAAAGAAAATTTGTTCAGTGGATCCATTTAGCCAAAGTGTACAGGAAATAAAAACCTGTAAATATACAGTATATTGTTTAAAGCTTACTTTCAAGGAAATAAATCACAATGGGTCAGAAAAAAAATAGTAACTGTGAAGCCATTACCTTCTTCAGACTGCTGTCCACAGTGTCAGGGCGACTGATGTCAAAACACAGCAAAACTGCGTCTGAGTCACTGTAGCACAGGGGCCTCACGTTATCATAGTATGGAGAACCTTAGGGGAGAGGAAAGAGAAAATCATCAGTGTGGATACAAGACAAGACAAACTAAAAACAGTCTATTCTCAGAATTATCAGATGCTCACAACCCTCCCTTAAGTGGATGGGATTATCAAGATTGCATTTTCAGTGCTGAATACTGCTGATTTTTTAGATAAAATATTTTGCAACCATCATTTAGAAATTGTGGCAAATATCAATGTTCTCCTCATTTCCATTGTTAAATGACAAAATGCTTGTTTGATGAAAAACAATCTTATGGGATTATGTGTAACTGGCATCACTTCTCCTTCTTCCCGCTGTCCCTGCAACCGCTCT